CCCCCTGTCGTCGAGCTGCCGCCGGAACAAGTTGTCCTCCATGAGGGCGACGATCCGGACGACACTCCGGGGTGGCATGTTGCCCTACGGGCGTCGGAGGCGGCTGCGAGGGAAGCCGCCGAGGTAGCGGCCGCCATCGACATTGTCGCGGCCACGGCGGCAGAGGAGGCCGCGATGGCGCCGGCGAAGGAGGAGGAGGCGGCGCCATCGGAGGAGGAGGAGGCGGCGCCGGCGGAGGAGGAGGAAGACGGCCCCGTCGACTGGGACAACGTCGTGGCAGACAGCAGCTGCGACGATGGCGGTGACGGCGAAGGCACCGTCGTGATCGACCTGCTCGCTAGCGATGACGACGACTATATGTAAAAATATTATGTAAAATATATCTATGTTGAGTGAAAATGCAATTTGAAAAATAGATCTATGTTGAATTTTATGCCGACGGGGCGGGGGGAGCGGCGTGCGACCTGGGGGGGCTTAGCGGCGGGTCGTCGTTGGCGGCGGGCGGCGGTGGGGTGCGGTCGGGGGGGAAGAGGAGGGGATGGGAGACGAAGAGAGGAGGGGGCATTAGGGCCGTTAGGTAGGGACTTGTTTGACGTCCGCTAGCTGACGGCAAAGTGAGCAGGTGGGGGTGGGCTGTTACAATAGCTGGCCTCCACTGGACCCCACCCACCTCTCTGCCTTCAGCTAGCGGATGGCAAAGTTTTGTTGTCGTCAGCAAGCCGACGGCAAAGAAGAGGTTGATGGCAAATTCTTTGATTCCAGTAGTGATGGTTGGATGGCTACTTGCGATGTTTTACTCATGTTTGTCCTGTCCAGAGAGCACAATGGTTGTTACTTGCTAAATTTTGGCACAATTTCAGCATGCGCTCTACTTTGGACAACAAATCTCCATTCGAGGTGCTCTACGGCCATTCTTCTCGCCACTTTAGTGTTACATCTACCGACATTTGCCCTGTTCCTGAATTGGATGTGTGGTTAAAGAGTGTGGCCTTATGCTGAGATTGTTACAGGAACGCGCTCATATGAAAAGCCATGGCAACAAGAAGCGTTCAGGCCGAGTGCTCCAGATTAGCGACTCTTTTTAAGCTGCAACCCTATAGTCAGTCTACATTTGCATCACGAGGACAGCCCAAGTTGTTGTTCAAGTTTTATGGTCCGGTCAAAGTGCTTGACGGGTTGGTTACATAGCTTATCGTCTCTAATTTTCCACCTGAAGATGCGCAATTATTTGTACCATGAAAAGTGTTACAGCGTCGATTCTGGCATGAATTGCAATATGGGAAGACTTAGATGAGCCATGAGCCACAGTTTGGGGACAAGTTGTTCTTCAAGGGACGGGGCCAAGTCAATAGCGACAAAGTTAGCGACCAAGCCTCTAGACGCATCGCCAGTGTAGAAGGATACATCATCCTTCTAATCCCTACACTCAAGACCAATGGGTCACGGGCCCGTTAACACATGGAAGGTTGTCATGTTTTGAAACCTGGGCTTCGTGTCATATAAATGGACGATGCATAGCGGCTTCCCTTCAAAATCCTTCTAATCCCTACTACCTCGCTGCTCCGTATTGTTTTTATGACATGTAAACAGGGACCTCCCATCGTGCGTTTATATGACATGAAAATTGGAAAATATGATTAGCTAGATAAAAACATGAACGGTTTTGAAAATTCTGAACATTTTTTGAAAAACACGAATATTTTTTTTCCAATTGTCAACATCTTTTAAAGGAAACAGTTTCCAAAAATTCCTGATTTTTTTTTATTTCTGAACAAACTTAAAAACAGGAAAAACTCTTAAAAGTGTGAAGATTAAAAAAACAAGAAAATCTTTTGAATATGTGAAAAAAAATTAAAACAGGAACTTCTTCAAATTTCAAAACCCGAACATGATTTGAAATTCCACAGATATTTTTTGAAAAGGCAACCATTTTATGAATATGTGAACAAATTTGAAAACGGGAAACACTTTTGAAATTTGATTCGAAAAGAAACAGAAAAAAGGAAAAGGAAAAACCGAGAGGAAAAAAATAAAGAAAACAAAAAGGAAGAAAAACCGGATCAAGGTTCCTTAAACCGGTTATGAACCTTTTGCCAGAACCAGTGGCTCGCTCCTCTCGAATTCGAATTCCTCGATTGATAGACAAATCCCCATTCCGATCTAGATCCACTATCCCCACGCTAAGAAAGAAGACAATAACGCGAACACTGGCTGCTTCTCGAGCGCACGGCTGATACAATGCAACAGCTGTCTGCTGATAGCCATGGCTGCCTACGCGATCCAACAGCGACGGGGCCTCCAGCCGCCGACAGAACCTGGTCTCTGGCGTCCGAAATTGTTAGACCTTGGGTTCTTCTCGAACAAGTCGCTGGTGAGCGGGCGAGCTGGCCGAGCGGCGACGGCAGAGCTGCAGGTGGCTCGGTCGAAGCCGGTACATAACCGGTTACCCACACGTAAGTAGAAAAATAAAAAAGACAATCAATAAAAATGAGAAAATGACTTGGTAATCAAAGTTTACGAACTGGTTGCAATTTTGTGAAGCCCATCTTGGATCTTGGGGGGTGGCAAGTACTCCCTCTGTAAACTAGTACTAACAAATACTCCCTCTGTTCCTAAATATAAGTCTTTGGAGAGATTCCACTATGAACCACATACGGATGTATGTAGATACATTTTAGAGTGTAGATTCACTCATTTTGCTCCGTATGTAGTGCATAGTGAAATTTCTACAAAGACTTATATTTAGGAACGGAGGAAGTATATAGTTCAAGAAAACTAATAAATATATAAGATCTTTTAGATCACTACTATAAGATCTTTTTAGATCTTCTATTAGTTTTCAGAGGACTAATATCTAAAAGATCTTATATTAGTCTAGAAACTAATAAGATATTTTTATAATGATCTAAAAGATCTTATATTAGTTTACACAGGGAGTACTAACCTTTTGTTTTACTAGTTTCACAGAAGGGAATTACCAGAGCAAGTAGTCAAACTGTCACAGCCAACGAGCCAACGACGACATGCGCATACCCAACGACGTCAAGCCACATTATTGGTCTCATGCCAACAACCTGACAGCTGAGTATCAAAACCATATAAGTTAACAGGCACCAATGTACAAGGGGATGATTCGCCATCACACCTCACAACGGCTCAACATGTGATACACAGATAAATAAATGGCTGGAGAATATCTCTACCAATTGCTTGTTGAATGAAAGTTTTTACAGCAAGACATGATAACACAGCTACAGCAACCCACGAAACAAGTCGTCCTAGCGCACTTATTTCCATGGCTCAGGCACCAAAGAATGGACCGGGGACCGCATAACTCAATCTCAATCTAGAATCAATGGAGAGGAACATCGGTTATTCTGCTTCCTCTCCAGCCCTAAGCCGCGGCGGATTTGCATACCGGGCATGCGTTCTTCACTTGCAACCACTTCTTGATGCAGTCGGTGTGGAAGTCGTGCCTGCACTTCAGTATCCCTAGGAGATCATTGTCTTTGTACTCCTCCTGCCATAGTTCAAAAATCATAATCAGAATTGGAGGAGCAAACGATTCAGGGCATGCCTGTAATGAATTTTTCAACATGGAACTGGAAATTAGGAGCATAAGAAATTCGTACCAGGCAGACTAGACAGCGCCCATCATCTTCCTCGTCTTGCTCCTCATCAGAACTGCAACAGACCACTTCTTTCACACAACCTGAAATCTTTTCGTCGGCAAGGCCGGTGTTCACAGTACCTATGGATTCCTCCAAGGCCAACAGTTCCTGTACATACAAGACGGAAAAGGTTAAGAAAAGATCCTGAAGTTTCCAGAGTAGAAGAAGCAAACGACCATGATTATACCTCATAACTCATTTCATCAATGTTCAGTCTCAAGTCCCTGTGGGGGTCAGCAGCTGCTTGTCTTGATTGTTGATAGAAAGCCAACTGCTCCATCATAACCCGCTACACAAACAGCAGCTAGATCAATAAAAATATTCAAACTTAAATGGATACCAGCTTAATTACCTGAAAACACGAAACAAGACCTCTACCTGTGTCTCAGCGATCAAATGGAATGAGCTCCTATCTACGAATCTATTCATTCCAGTGCTGGCATGTGCCATGGATACCCTTGCATGCCTAGAAGATGCCGCAGTACTGATAGGAGATGGCACATTGATCCTAATGGATGTAGAGGTAGAAGCAGGATAGTTCGGAATGACTGCATCATGGGAAAATGCTCTTGAGCCAGAGGAAACTGTGGAGGATGGATGGCCGTAGCTAGGAACGGCGCCACCATGAACAGCTCTAGGAGCAGTAAAGCCACCATTAGCAAATACCGCACTGTCTGAAGATCCATGGACAGTTGGGGCAGCAGCAGCACCTGAGCCATGAACAGCTCTAGGAGCAGGAAAGCCAGCATTGGCAAACATCGCACTGTTTGAAGAACCATGGACAGTTGGGGCAGCAGCAACACTTGAGCTGCTGCTATGCATAGGCATAGGATGATGGTAGATCCTACCAGTGATCCCAGTGCCACCTAAACAGTCAAAATACATAGACCGTAAGTTTGAAAGAAATTTATAAATAGCATAAAAACAACAACCTCGTATGCTATATCATATACAAGATGATTTGGGGCACTGATAATTCGCATTTTTCTGGTAAAATTGTATCACAGGACTGAAAATCAGCCGCAGGTAACTACTAAAATCAAGTCACAAAAGCAACCTCATACCATAATTAAAGATGTGAACAGAAGACCGCATGAGATGCTAATTGTCAAGGGAAAAACTTGGGGGAGTGCATTAGCAAGACAATAAAGACGCATCAAGTACATTAAGCAAAGAATTAGTTACTAACCTGAAGGTAATGTTCTTGTTGGCACAGAAAAAGGTGCTTGGTTCCTTTCTGCTGCCGTACTTACGAAAGCACTTGTGGCTGAATGGAATGGCAGCTGATGATTGTTACTTGGTGTGTAAGTTGAAGCTGGCCTAGGTTCCAACGAAACATTAGCACTATCATGACGTGCTCTGACATTCCTCTGAGATCCTTCTTGATTAACTAAGCGTTGGTCAATCCAGTTGCTTGGACCAACGCTTAAAGGCACTTGCGGATGCAAGGGCTCAGTAAGTGCACTAGGATTTGGCTGCACAAGATCAGAGAAGTGACTGTTGGAAGAGCTGCCAACATAATAGTCAACAGCGTCCATTCCCTCCACTGAAGGAAGGAGGTTCTTTCGCTTCATTGCAACCATTCTGTTGTCCACATGGGAACTTAGGGCAGGTTTCGGCTGAGCATCATATGGTACATGGCCGCTGGATCTTGCAGTGCGATAGGGAACTAATGAAACATGTGAGGTCCCTAGGTTCACAACTCTATGACCTGGAAACTGTGTAGCATGACTTGAAGATGGAACGTCATTTGATCTACTTGCCATACTCCCAAAGCCTGGAGGACCAAGTCTAAGGGGTGCATCACTACCCGAATGCTCAAAAAGCATCTGACCTGAGATTGAAACAAGAGTATTACTATTTTATCATAGAACTAAGATAAACAGCAGAACAGAGCACAGGTTAAGTATAGCTACCTAAAGGCACAGGTTCATTGCCATGCCCATCCCTGGGTTGAGTATGATCCATCTCTGGCACTTGGAGATGGTTCAGATGATGTCCAGCCAAGAAACAGCCCTGTCTGGTTGCCCTTAACCTGGAAACACAAATTGAATGAACATCAATAGTCTAGAATCGGACAAAAAATGCTAGTCTAACTGAAAACAATGTGCTAGCATTAAGTTGAACACGGATTATGGACTGAGCTACCGCCGCAACTCAGGTATACAAACATGAAACTGACTTCATATACTCCTACAAAGCTAGGAAGGTAGATTGATTAGTAAATCCACCCATTACTTTAGCGAAAGAAATGGACTTTGTGCTATATTATTAGGTAATTAGCACTTGAAGGTGAGATACTTTGCAAATGTGAAGAATTACGACAAAAGGGGTGAACATTGCCCTTCTAAATGGAGTATACTGGCTTCTAACAACAAATTCTTGTTCAAGAATATAGCAGCTGATAGAAACAGGGCAAGGTTATCAGTCAACAGATGCACAGGGAAAACATGTTATTTGACCAAACTGGTTGCTGAGAGCAGGGCAGCAAGGGTCATTAAGCAAACCCATCAGAGTGCAATCCGTTTTGTTTCCTTTGTCAGAAGGAGGAGCAACCTAGCATGCACACGACTGACTCTGTTCTATCATCAAATTAAGAGTCACCTAGGCCACAAGTAATAATAAACAGTACAAACAAGCATCCCGTCCCACGCCAACGAGAGCATATCGACGGATCAATCGACGACCAAGAATTGGTGCCAGGGATTGTACAACAAACAGCGATTCTAGAGTTCTGAACCTGGACCCGGATATGGCAGGTGATAAATAAAAACTACGGCATGCCTATCCGCGAACAGGTGCGCGAGTAAAATTTCAAATTCGCTCGATGCGGTACCCAAAGCGGACCAAAATGGTCGCTCCCCCTGCTACACGGCGCCTCGCATACAAGCAAGATACTACTACTCGTACTATAATTGGCGAGAAACGGCAACTACTGGGAATCAATCAAAGAAATCAGGATAAATCTACACGTTTCCTTTTCGAGACGGGGGGGCCAATCAGGCACGCACGCACGCACGTGACCGGCTCTGCTCTATCACCAGCCAGGCAGGCCAATCCTGCCCGGGCAGGCGGCGGTTAGCTGAACGGCGCAAACACGTGCCCCGCCGCTCGCTACCGCGGCGGATCAGCCGCCGCCGCCGCCGCCGGGGAGGGGAGGGGAGGGGAAGCGCAACGGAAAGCCAGAGGGGGCGCGGCGGAATCGGCCGAAGCGGACGGGGAATCGGGAGGGGGGCCGGTACCTGCGCGCGGGCGGCGGCCGATCCGGGGCGCGATCCGGCCAGATCGGCGGCGAGGGAGGGAGGCGGCGCGGCTGGCTGCTTCTGCTGGGTTGGGTTGTACGCAGGGAAGAAACAAATTTGTCCGCGTGGGTGGGGAGGGAGGGAGACGGTGGGGGCTGGGCTGGGGACGACGAGGCAGAGGGGTATTTATAACGGCGGGAGAGGGTGAGGGGCGTTGGCGCTGGCGTTGGAGAGGCGGAGAAGGAGTAGCGCCCGTCGCGTCGCGTGGAGGGCCAGCGGGCCCCGCCCTCCCCTCCCCTCCCCCTCCTCGCCACTTTACTGCCAGAAATAAGCGTCTCCCCTGCCTCGTTTTCAAAATTCGAACCCCCGGGCCCGCCCGCCAGCGAGTGGCCGCGCCCGCACCGGCTGGGCCACGAGGGCGTCTGGACAGCCAGGGCCCACGCGGAGAGACGCGGCTCGTACTGGTAGTAGTATTAGGCTGGTCATAGTGGAGAGTAACTTAGACTAGTAACATACATATGTTACTAGTTTATGTTACTACCTTCATGGTGGGTAGTATCATAGGTGTGGTAACATAGTTGTCTTCATTTATTACTTTGTAGACTCATTATGCATTGGAAACCGCTATGTGATGGTAACATATTATGTTACTCTATTTGCCTCTCTCCTCATTAACTACTTGCCACATCATCAATTTTGCTTATGTGGCTTCTATGTTACTACCTATGTTACTCCCACTATGACCAGCCTTAGGGTCGTATACGGATACACGGGGAGATACGGTGCGGTACGGTTGGGTGCGGAGAGGGGGTGGGGTGGGGCCCAAGTGTAAGGAGTGGTTTGACTCACGGCGTTACTTGCTGCTTGCCTTTTCCCTGTGGACGGACGCCTTTCGCCTTTGCTTGAAAGGCTCTCCTTTTGGCCTGGGTGCGACACAAGCACCAACTGCGTTTTTTGGCCATGACAGGGCGGAGCCGGGTAAGATCGGCCTACCTATAGCTGTGCCTTATTTCTTTCCCTTTCTCTTGTCACCTTCGCAGCCGGATATGCTAAACAATTCTTTGGCGTATAAATCTCGTATATATATATATATATATATATATATATATATATATATATATATATATATATATATGGCCCTTAATTACGATCATTAGCGGCCTGCCTATGCCTATACCTGTGGCTGCCTTTTCTCTTAATTATTAGCAAGTTTGTATTATTATTTCTTTTCTTTCCCTTGTCACGTTCGCGGCGAGATACGCTACACAAGCCTGGCGTATAGAGCTCGTATATGAGGCCCTTAATTACGATTGTTTAATATCCCGTATGTATGCAGCGTATATCTCGATTAATCCTGCAACATATACATGGGCAATAAATTAATAGTACCACGTAATCGCAAAAAATAGCAGGTGATTGCAATCCCGGTTGGTCCTTACTGGCACCAAGATCTTTCAAAAATTGGTGTGTGGATTTCGTTTCGGATTGTTATAATATCTTTCCCGTCTCTGTTTACGGGTGGTTTGACGTTGACTCTCGTAGCGGGGAGGGGCGCACGGAAAGGTCTGCGTCCACGCCCTGGCCATGGCCCATCCCGGGCCCACGGGTCGGTGGGGGTCAGCTACGACGTGGCTGTCTTTTCCGTGCGCCCGGCTCGCGCTCGCGCTGACGGAGGGCGGGCACGCCGGGGGGTACGTCGCGCACGTGGGCGCGGCTGACCTGTGGGGCCGACGGCAAAAGCGCCACCCAGCTTTGCCATTAGTCTTGCGCGCCACGTACGTGTCGTCTGGCGCGGGGCTGGGCTGGGCTGGAGCCCATCATCGGTTCCTCCGTAGTCCGTGCGAGGAAAACGGTTGCCAGGGCGCTGCAGCTGCAGAGAGAGAGAGAAGCGGGCAGACGCGACCCAGAGCGCGAACGGGCGGCACGGAGCGGAGAGCATCCGATGTGTGGTGTGGCGTGGCGTGGGTCACGTTCCATCCATCGCGCAGCACGCGGGCCTACGGCTAGGGACGGAGCCAGCCAATAGATGGATGGATAGCCCCCTGACGCCTGCGGACCAAAGCAACGCAGCTGCAGCACGCTACGCCATACCACGCCAGGCGCTAAAAGAAATCACAGGGAAATTGGTGCTACTAGCTGGTAGAGTACGTCTCGTATTGATGATGAGCCTAGCTTGGGCCGAGCTGCCGGTCGATAGATAAATGCAGATGCCGCACCGAACTGTGCCAGTAGTACTCCTGCATTGATCAAGGGGCTCTTTTTTTTTTTTACTTTGCTGATGAGGAGTGACTTTTTTTTTACTGAATGAGTATTCGTCTGGGTGTATTATTATACGCCCTCGTTTCGCCCCAGCCAGCTGAAACTTCTGAAAGCCTGCGCGAGAAGAAAATGATAGCGTCTGAAAGTGCTTTAGGAGCACCGGTAAGTTTCTGAATCACGAGCGGCGTCTCGCTCGCCGAAACTGTTCGGCGCAGTTTTTTACTGCGGGGGAACTGTTCCGCGCGGTTACGGAGAGAGTGCAGGGTCTGGTCAAGCCATCGACCGATCGACGGTAGAGGATGCGGTATATGCCTCTTTTCCCTGTATCTACTGATGTCTGTCTGACTGTCTGAAAAGGATTTTGCCATTAACGCCTAGTGCGCGCAGTACTGAAGGAGCTGCAGGTCTCCGGTAGCTGTGGGCTGTGGCCTAGTCTGAGGCTGACTACTTGGGGCAAAAGGGAAGGCCGTGTGTGAACTCGCTGACCAAGTTTGGGCGTCTACAGCCTTTACAGGGCGTCGTGCGCGTCCTGGCCAACACGCCCCGGATTGGCATTTTGACCGTGGGCGTACAGTGAACTATAGGTGAGCTATTGATCCGATTGTGTCTACTACCTTGGTTAACATGAAGTTTAAGGATCCTTTGATTCAAGAGAATTACGCCGTCTTTAAAAAAACGAGAAGTCTAAAAATCTGCCATCGGATTTTCGATGATGTCGGTCAAACATACAGCCGTTGGATATTATGTACGAATCTTGACGCATGCCTCCTTGACATATCACAAATCGAATCATTTACCGCGGCCGGTCAACCCGGGCGAATGGGGCGTTTTTCCCCTTGCCCCATCAGTTTCATCACACTAGCTCTCCCATTCTCCGTGCACCAATCCTCCCCTGTCGAGCACTTCCTCTCTCCATGAGGGCACATCTCACGATTTTTCGGCGATACCCGGTGGAGGCAAGGGAGCGGGTTGAGGGTGGGAGCACAGGGGCCGCGCCAGGGGATTGAATTCGGCTGGCGCGGGTGGTTGCCGATGTTATGTTGATGAAGAATGAAGATGCCTTGGTCATCCCTAAGCGTTGCCTTTTTGGTCTTCTTAGAATTGGAGGGAATGCATGTGATTGTGATGAAGTTAACCTGAAATTCAAAGCATTACTCAAACAAAATTGTTAGTCCACAAATAAAATAAAATAAAATAGTTCCACTTGTTGTTTGTTAATCATGGCAACATGGTATAACAATAGCTACAACCAAGAACGCAATCATAGGTCCTTTTGATCAAGGGGGAACCAACACTATGTGATTCTGTAGCAAATACAATAGTTGCGCAAGAATCTGTCAAAACAAACTATAGCATATATAAACCTAATTAATCAGGACAGTTCCAATACCCAGAAAACAAACAAATTAGGATGAATACTAGGCATACGTTGCTCTGCTTATTAAAAAATTCAAGTCAAAAGCCTGCTCCAGCAAATTATGTCAATTTCTAGAAGAACAACAAGTAGCAGAAAACAGTTAAACATCTACCACATGGCATAAACACTTAAACTAATTGCATAACTTGACACTTTATTAAAAGAAAACATGAAAAGTACTTTCCTACAATAAGGTAGTAAGTTATATATTATTCAGACCAAACTAAAATCCAATTGTGGGCTGCCTCACACAAGCGCTTTCATTAATGCCTTTGAGCTAGGCATGGAATTTATTTGAAACTCACAAGAATGAATCATAATTATTGCAAAGCACAATACGAGCACCAAAAAGCATAAGGTAAATATATTTAAGACTAACTGACTTCCTATGCAGAGGAATCTTAGCATAGGAGGGAAAGATAGCTATCAGCGGACGGCTTCTTTGGTGGAGCGGAGCTTCATCCATACATTGATGGCGACGAATCTGGACGGCGTGGCGCAGTGCGGATTCGGAGTTCGATGTGGAAGGATGGACTCGCGCAGGAGGATGACGCTGTCTGGCGTCGTGGTGGCGTCGATGGCTGAGAGACCTGGCACGGTAGATGCAACAGTACAGCTCTGAAGATGGACTCGTGGCAGGTGGCTGCGGCGGCCCCATACCCGGCAGGCGTCCTGGTTGAGGAGTGCGCCGGACTGGTAGGTGCCTCATACCAGGCAGGCGTCCTGGTTGGGACCTCAGGTCTTAGATGTTTAGGTTTGGATGCGATGTCTGTTTGGTATTAGGCCCAGACTATCAGCGCCCCTTCATCAACTGGATAGGTGTAGCGATAGTTGTTGCTTAGACGGTGGCTTCAGTCTTACTGTTGTATGACTTTGTAAGGTCTTGTGAGAATAATTAATAAAGTAGCCGCATGCATCGCCCAGATGCAGAGGCAGGGGGTCATCCTCCTTTTCTAAAAATGGAGGGAAAGATAGGTGCAACTTCAAAGCTTTCAGCATAAAAAGAAGAAACTTGATGGTATTAAGATATCTATCACCATGTTTTCCCCTTTCATAATAATTATATGTTGAATCATAGTCAAACTCAATAATGTAGCTATCACCTAGTACATTTATACTCATGATATACGCACACATAAATTTTATCACTTTCCAAAAATTAGAGGGATCAGCAATAGCTAAAGTTTTGACCTTTTCGAATCCACTTTCAATAGTAAATCCATCATTGTTATAAATAATAAATTCCTCGGTACTCACATACATTTTCTATACCCTAAGGAGTATCATAATCCTCCCCAATCACGATCATCATAATAAGTAGTAGGCATAACATAATCATCCTCAATAGTGCCAATAGACATAGTTTCATAATCATAACATTCATCAAGTGTGTCATTACTTCGAGTAGGACCATCTAAGGTAATTTACTCCCTAAGACATTTAGCTGCCCACTCATCATTAGAAACTCGATAAAAAATTTATTTTTCATAACATTCATCATCTTCATCACTTGAATCATAAAGTTTATCATGTCTAGTTCAATCATACTTAGCATTCATAGATTCTACTGTTGGGGAACGCAGTAATTTCAAAAAAAATCATATGCACACACAAGATCATGGTGATGCATAGCAACGAGAGGGAAGAGTGTTGTCCACGTACCCTTGTAGACCGTAAGCAGAAGCGTTATGACAACGCGATTGATGTAGTCGTACGTCTTCACGATCGACCGATCCTAGCACTGAAGGTACGACACCTCTGCGATCTGCATACGTTCGGCTCGGTGACGTCCCACGAACTCAAGATCCAGTAGAGCTTCGAGGGAGAGCTTCGTCAGCACGACGGCGTGATGACGGCGATGATGGTGCTACCGGAACAGGTCTTCTCCTAAGCACCATTACGATATGACTAAGGTGGATTATGGTGGAGGGGGGCACCGCACACGGCTGGAAACAATCAACTTGTGTGTTCTAGGGTGCCCCCTGCCCCCGTATATGAAGGAGCAAGGGGGAGGCCGGCCGGCCTAAAGGCGCGCCAAGAAGAGGGGGAGTCCTCCTCCTAGTAGGAGTAGGACTCCCCTTTTCCTAACCCAACTAGGACGGAGGAAGGGGAAAGGAAGGAGAGGAGAGAGAGGGGGAAAGAGGGGGCGCCGCCCCCCTCCTTGTCCAATTCGGACTCCCAAGGGGGGGGGCGCGACCAGCCCTAGGCCCTCTCCTCTCACTCCCACAAGGCCCATGTTGGCCCATTAGTTCCCCCGGGGGGTCCCATAACCCCCCGGCACTCCGA